ATGTTTAGCTTAGCGCGTCAGATTTTCTACAGGTATACATAATATAGACATATGTAGACATATAACATACATATTATACAGGGTAAATCAACAAGCATGCTCACCCCCATTTTTTCCTATAATAATAAATTTATTCAAATTCTGATTTTTGGAATTTTTAAATATACTCAAAGACCATAGGTATTTTTAAATGTATGAATTTTTTATACTACCTACTTAAGGACTGTCATCCTGTAGCTATACAAACATTTGTTTTCCAAATGAGAACCCTTTTTTTTACTGTAAATTAATTAGTGAATATTTTTTTTTTGAACGTTTTGATGTATCACTTTCAAAATTCTAATGAGTAGTTTCTTAGTTATTAAAATGTTTGTATTAAGGATAATAGTCCTCAAAAATGGTTTTACATAAATATAAAATAGACGAAAAGTTGGATTTATAGTCTATTCAGAATAATAGCACATCAGATTTAAGTAGCAAAACCGGTTTTGACCGTGGCCCCTTGGTGTTGTCTTATTTTGAATAGAGTATAATATTTACTATACTTGGGCCATTATTATAAATTATTATATATTAATACCAATAGATTAATATTAATGAGTAAAGACTACAGCTTTCAAATTAACAAATAGCCTCCGTTTTTCATAAACCCATTACTATGGACCTTTTATCCTTAGAACATAAAGTTAAATAATTCAAAAACTACTTGTACGAATTTTGTTTTTGATGCATAAAAAATTTCAGAAAAATTATCTACCGTATAAATTATATAGTTGAATAGGGGTGTTCTCATTTGAAAAACAGAAGTTTGTATCTCCACAGGACATTTAAGTAGTACGAAAAAATCCCACGAATTTGAAAACATGGTCTTAAAGTACATTTAAAAATTAAAATAATAAGATTTTGAATCATTGTATTATTGAAGAAAAAAAAGGAAGTGAGCGTGCATGGTGAATCACCCTGTATATATATATATTCATATAGGCGTAGCTCAAAGCCTTTGCAAACACGACCGTAACAATATATAAGCGTGTTTATACAAAACCCATCAATCCGGAGACCATTTTCGCTTGATTTATTGTTCCGTCCCATGCTCGCACAAAAATCATATGTATTTATATTGTATATATTATTATTATTATTATTATTATATCCTCTTGTCCCTATTGTAGTATATAGGACGGGACGGCGTGTTTTCCCGCTTTTCCGCTTTCGGTCGAACGGAAGGACGGGGCGGCCAAACACGGTGGGCAGTTTGTATATTGTATACGTCGACATCATGTGCTCGCCGTCGAAGCAAATCATAATTTTTCAAATTTTCCGGTACGACTGCAATCGCAGCTGTTTTAGCATTATTATAATATGATTAGCATAATATATCAATCTGCGACTACTGTTGTGCGTATTATATCTACGTATTATAATTTATAATACCCCATAGACAACACACACAAAAGTACAATATTGTGCAGTTACATTATGCATGTTTGTATATATATAATTTGTATGTACATATGTATATATGTATGTGCTTATGTATAATACAGGGTGTAGTAACAGATAGAACTGACTTTTGGAATAACTTTTGTTCTAATCAATATTTAAAATTTTTTTTTTACATATAATTTATAGTCACTTGCTCTACACATATATGTATTATACAAAAATTATTTTTATTTTTTAACACTGAAAATAAAAAAAATTTTAATTTGATTATATTTTCTTTGGGTATATTCAAAATAGCCAATTTGTCAACCTGATTATGAGAACAATTTTGGTAGTAAAAAAATTGATCTAAGTCAAGTAGTTTAGTTTTTATAATTTTTTAAAATATCAATATTTTTTTGATTAAATGAATTTGAATGTAAAACCTTTTATCAAAATATTTTTTTTGGGAATTTGCTGCAGACATGAGTATATTCCTTAAATTATTTACTAATCATATAATTTTAACAATTTTTGTCATACGTTTAAGTAGCATAATTTTTTTTTTTCGTCAAGTCTTCCTGTTACACCTTGTATATGCATGTACGTATGTATGTGTACCTATGTATATATGTATGATATTATATTCGTCGTCAAGTCCGTTGTGCGCGTGCTGTATAGGCAGCAGAAAGTATTTTATTTCGAGCAGGGATGCGGTTTTCCACAGAGACATCGAAAAGGATGATTAACTATACTATATTATTATATATGTGCACATTTTACGATGCCACCAGAATACAATATACGCGTCGCTTCGAATAGGATTCGTCGTATGGTTTACTAGAACGAAAGAATCGTGGGCTCGTATATTTATTTTATGTTATGCGATCGATATGGAATAATAATGATAAAAAAAAAACGGAAATATATCCAACGAATGGCATAGGTATTATATAGGCAATTCGAATAGAAAAGCAGACGGATGTCACACCTGTCGTTCGTATTTCGTATTCTGAATGAAAGAGAATCGCGAGTTTTAAAAGTTTCAATTATATTATTATCCTATTCAGTGAGCAATAAATTATGGTAGTTACTGCGGCGGAGTAGAAGGAGCGCTGTGCTCGTAAAGTTTTAAGTAGTCCATCGTGTAATATTGTGTAATAATAATATATAGGACTCGAGTCGGCATTTAGAATAGTTCGTTTTTCGATTTATCGAAGTAGGTGGTTTTTGAGAGGAAAAACTACAGGCAACCGCCAAACAGTTTCGATTTTCAAATAAAACATGTCTGAAAAGTGAAAAGTATAATATATTATTTACATAATGTGTGTTTTTAACTAATCTCAGAATCGTTTGGAGAACTTTGCTTCGGTGACAAACGATGGCCTAAACATATTATTATTGTATCGTCGCTTTCGAATAATTTAAAATCACAACACGCCGCACTCTATAACGACATATTATAATGCGTCTTATGAGCTAAGGGAAACGATATTATAATATTATTTTATACATTATATTTGAGTCTTGTCCGATCTTTTTTTTTGTTTCTTCAATCGTTCTCAATTTTTCGCACTCTCAACAAACTTTTCTCTGCGGAAAGTTCGATAATCGTCTTACGTGTCACTATCATGCTGTTCACAACCTTTTATACAAAAATGCCATGTTCCGGTACTCAGACGTAGCCGGTAACGCCGAGAGGAAGTGATGAGGCTGACGCCGGCCGCAGGGGATAGACATTTGTGGATAGGGAGGCCGCCGACCGAAGTACCTACTACGGCACCTCCGAGACGCCTTTATAAATGATATTATATAGTGTTTTACATTCACCGATTCACCTACGCTGCAGTTGGTTCGAACATCAGGGGACGCATCTAAGTATACGCAAACTCATTTCATTTTATTTTTTTTTTAACAAACGCCACTAAGCTGAGGTTTAAATCGGACAATCTTGATTTGGTGGAAATTCGTGAGTTTATTTCTCGTTTCAAAAAGAATAGGAAGAAAGTAGAAACTCTATTTATAGTTGTATATACATATACGATTCGTTTGTTTTCGATTTTGTCTAAAACCGTTTATCCATATTAATAAAATGTGTGTCTGTGCGTGTGTGTGTGTAAGAAGTTCACAAGTTTATCGGACTAATGGTTTTGAGATTTGGTTACCTATATCCGAGGATATGCACCTCGAAGCCATTTTTTTTTTAAATTGAGCATTTTAAAAAAGGGTTAACACAGGGATTTGTTGATCCACGAAAAACTTATATTTTGTTTGTTTATATAGAGTTGTCCTCCTGGTACGCAGACAATTAAATAGTTATTATTATACAATTATTGTGCTTGTATAATTTTAAGCCTGTATTTTATATTTTACCAAAACCACCCTGGAAATGACTGTGTTAAAAACATGTGTAATTTACATTTAACGGAGTTTAAGTAATCCACTGACATTACTTAATTTTTACGATCAACGCAGTGCAGGTCGCAGGATCAGCTATAGTACTTTTTAATTACACAATACTTTTTACAAAGATACTTTTTTGAAAACCGTTTTACCGTTTGTAGTTTGTACATATAATATTATGTCATAACGATACAACTTCCATCGGGTCGATTGTAAAACATATAGAGTATAGACATAGCATGACATCTATCCGTCTCTTTCTCTCTCTCTCCATCCAAAGGCGGTCGTTTGGGGCAAGGAAAAGTGGAAAGCAGCTGACTCCCGCAGAGGCCAGTTTAATATAATAATAATAATACGATGGAGACGTTGGTGGTATAGGTGGTGGACATATTATAGGTACGGTCGTCGGCGCACAAAGGTCGTCGAAGCCTATATATACATACGCAGACCCACGCACACCCCTTCGTAATGTATTATATTATTTATCATACATATATATATATATATATATACGTGGCCGGACAAACGATAAAACAGATAACGTAACCGCCACCATCATAACCAACACCACCACCACCACCACCACTACCGTGGTAGCCGTCGCCGCGTCAGGTTTTTATTGATCACTGACGGCGGCAGGGTTGGCGGGCGCACATGGCGTGTGCGTTTTACTTATTAACTGTTGAGTCCCGCGAGCGTACGCACACGCACACACACACACACACACACACACACACACACACACACATGGTATACACAAAGTCACCACTGTACACACTCGCTCGCACATATTATTATAATGCATAATACGCAAACCGCACGCAAAGGCCTCGCGGTTGCGTCGCGAAAGGCAGTGGCGGCGTAAGTGGCGCGACGCGGCGGTTTCGCGTGGTACGTACGCCGAAATCGCCGCGCCGGCGTTCACGGCACAGTCGCACGCGCCGCACGCCTTTGCACGCGAAATCCGTCGTAGCCGCTCGCAGCCGACTTCAGTACCGTTTTCGCCGCCTGACGCAGTGATCGCAAGCGCCCAGCGCCGTCTCCCCTCGCCACACGCGCACCGTATATTATAATATTATACAAAAACGACATTGTATTATGATAATAACGATATAACATTATTATTGTAGTTAGCGATCTCACGACGATAATAATATTATTATTATTATGAAATGCTCTCGGCCAACAGCATCACGTCATTCGTCACCGCTCTCATCTGCACCCTGTCTTGCATAGCCGACGCCAGTAAGCCACCATAATAATATATACCTATAATATTATATTGTATGCACACACACACGTCTCACACACAATTTTAATACCCACCTAAGTACCTATAAAGTTCTATAATATTATAAACGACTCTAACCATGGTTATGGTTGTGGTATTATTCCGATCGCATGTTATATATTTTTAATGTCGTCGAGCACCAATGATTATTATTGTTACATATTATTATAATGGATTAAACGCATATTATACTCGATATTATATATATGGACTCGAGTGTCAAAATCCTGGTCATTTTACTGCTCGTAGGTCCTAGGTCGTATTATACTTATAAAAATCCACACTGATGCTTATACGCTATAATATTATATAAGTACCTATATAATATATATATAACGGCACCTTAATACAACAATTCGCATACTCAAACACTTAAAACGCAATTTTCTAATCATCTCACTTTGAGGGAAATCGCATAGTCTATAATATAATTGTATTTCTAACATATTGTTGCGTACTGTTTCCATACGATTTATGCCAAAACGTCTTTGATTACTATTTGAAGAATTAGCAACTAATAGTGTCACTATTCTGAGATGTCACATTGCTCTATTACTGGAGTGATGTTCGGCCGTATCGTTGACAATAATCATCATTCATATACCAAAATGAAATACAATTCACAAAATAATATAATATTATAACCCTGCAAATGGATTATTATTATTTTCCAAGACTTTTTTGGTGTTTTAGAGTTGCGTCATTATTTTTTCACGGTTGTGAATTTTAATGCCACTTGTATTCCCAGGTGAATAAAAAAAAAAGAAAATACTCGGTAGTCGTAAAATTAAATTATATTAATATATTTTACCGTTTCCCCTTATTTTTTATTATTTAATTTGCTCGTCGCCGTAGGTAAATACTTAAATATTGTTATCACGGAATGTTTTACGTCATCCTTGCTCGTCGAAAACTCAAATTAATTTAATGGAAAACAAAAGTAACTACCTTTATTATGTACATATTATACGACACACTCGTATCGAATATAGTAATATATACCAATAATAATAATATATCGATCTACTAGTTCCGTCGGCACTGTCCGTAAAACTATATAATAACATAATATATCTTCGAACGACACTACACCGATGCTCGCGTATATACTCGAATCCGTCAGTATTGTGTTCATGCCAGTACGTAATCGCAATTGTTGCCAAGACCTTAACCCTTGTCCGACGACGCGTGGGGCTTTTATTTTTTTATGTTATTTAAATGAACATTTTTTTGTTCGTTTTTTTTAACGCCCGATTATATTATTACGCGAGCGGTCCGAAAATAGAAAACCAAATATCACTAGGTATACCTATTCGCCGAATTCGTGTGATGACGGTGGTGGTACAACACTTTTTTACGTTGATATTATTATAATTGTTGGCATGTACTGAACGCTCAACACCTGTCGCGAAAGCGGTGGTCGGGGAAAGTAATTAAAGCAGACTGTTGTCTGTTGCAGACAGTATAACCCGTCGATGGCGTATAATATGAAGATCGACCAAAGGGTAAGATTTAATTTTTTTTCAAATACAGTTCTTGAAACGGATGGCTCCCCTCTCCCACGCCCACATCGATCAACTTATCGATTTCAATGCCACGGTTTAATTATTTAATGTCAGTTCTATACTGGTGCCATAATAATACACAAAAATAACCACAAACCAGCTCCTATATAATGGAGGCAATCTACTCGTCGACCTCTCCCTTCAAATACTTCACCGTCGGGTGCAAACGCAAATAAAATCTGCTATTTATTTTCGTTAAGACGCCGCACAGACTAAAATAAAATATATTACACCGAAAACGATAAATGGAACGAAACAAATAATATGTCGACGGGGTGCGTTGATGGTGTCAAGCATCTGTGTCAATCAATCTGCACAATATCGTACAAATCGCTATTCATATATTATGAGACAAACGTCAAGGCGAATCAGTCAATTACGCCACCAATCGGAAGATAAAATATATTAATACCTACTTAGGAGTTTACGACATGAGTATAATTTTTTTTTGTCCTTCTTCGTGGTTTTTTTATTTTTTGGTAAACCCCGGTGTATTTTCATAGTTTTTCATTTGTACGTACTCGTTTATGTTAATTTTAAACGGCAGTTGGTTGTAATTTGCTTATATTATATGTGCCCAATGCAAGATGAGTTGTAAATCTTTCTGAATTGTGTATACCTACCGAGTGTTAAACCTTAAAACAAACGATCCGTTGTTCGGATATCTGCAGTGACGGGACGAAAATAAACGCGTACGATTTATTTGGGATAATAACATTAAATCTCGGAGGGATAAACAAAACGCGTGAAATAGGCTGACGTTCCAAATGTGGTGTGAATCGTCGGGTAAAAAAGTCTGAAAACCCAACAGATATAGACAAAATAATATGTTAAGCCACCGATTCCAATTCAACTGTTACAGTAATTTGAAAACAACATAGGTCTACCGTTTTGCTGACGGTTTGACATTCGAAATAATATGGTAATAAAAATTGTACAGTAAATACTATATATTTAACACAACATTATCGTGGGTAAGTGGGTTAATTATTTGGATTTCACATGATAATCAAGCAGGTATTGTGTGAGACCTTAACAGTATTACTATGATTTCTAAATAAAATCTGCTCTCTTTAGACTAAATATGCAGCATGAACATATCATACAATATATTATGTCAGTGGCGTATTATGGGGGAGGGCATGGCAATTTGCCCCCTTCCACTTAGCACGAGAATTTTTTTTTATGCACTATCGCCCATGTTATATAGAAATAAAAGTCATATTATTGATTTCATTAATCATGAAACACATTCAATCGTCTATAAGTTTGCACTACATATTGATATTAAATACTATTGAAAAACCAAAAATATGTTTGCGAATCATGGAAATTGTGCTCAGGTAAGGTGCATATTATCCGCTCATAATATGCGCACATGATATAATTTGTTGTATTATTATACGTGCAGAGAGAGTGAAAACTTTTATTAAAAAATAATAACAATATGTTTGTATAATATATTATGGGTATACGGTGTTCAAAACTATCGTAAATTTATATTTATTTTGCTTATCTGTAGTTACTGTTTAGGGGTACACAAGACCAGGATCAAAGTTAATCCACTTAAAATATAATATTATAGTAACTGATATGTTTATAAACATAACATATCGATGGATATAATTAACTTCGTAAAACTTATTTACGAACGAAAGTCAATTTTCATCGCTCGTATAGTATTACACGCAGTAATTTTATACCGATACGGAAGGTTTATAAATAATTATAAGAATACATCGCAATATATTAAATCATAGCAGTATTATGGTTATTGGTTGTACATCAGCTATGCACTTTGAGTACACTATTGAGTTGGTAAAAATTAAAGCGTTTATTGAAAGAAAAAAAAATTCTAAGATTATGATTGAGTTGTTCAAAGCAAATACAAATTTTAACACGTCAAGAAAAAAAATTAATTTAAGCAATATTATCATGATGCTATATATTGTATTATGGAAATGTTTGTCTAAAACTATTTTGACGATTCGGTAAAAAGTTAATATTATTTTGTATACATTATATAAAGTTCTCGCGTGTGTTATTTTTTAAAACAATATGCTACGCTTGCTACTACTTATATATAATACGTCGGTGAACCTACCGATGATGTTTATCTTTGTACACATAAGTGCAAAGTTAATAATAACACGCCTGAAAAAAATTTTCGAATTTCATCCGCAGTCGGGTTTTATTAATAATAACTGGTATAGAAAAAAAAACTAATAAAAAGTCTACAAGTTTATTTTATATCTTACAGTAATAAGTCGATGTATACAATATATAAGTACAGCTGACGGCCGAGAAACGTTTAATTAGTGTTTTAAAAAAAGTTTCATTTCCGAGCTTTATATAGAACGCGGGATTTATCTTCATATTTATCTTGCACATTATTCTAATTGAGTACCTGCTGGTGAATAGGCTGGTGTATAATAAAATATTGTGTACAGAACATTAGCATATACCATCTATAAGTTATAACCTATATATAAAAAAGGTAGGTATATAAGCTGAACTCTAACTTTTTTTTTAAATATTCAAGCGCCATAAATACATGATACGATAGCATTGTATCAAATTTTATGAAAAAAAAATAATAATATCATATTTATTTTATCTGTATAGCATCATTGAATACGTATTAGTGAAATGATATATTTTAAATAACAAAAAGGGTGTGAAAAGGTATACATAATGGTTTCCCGTGCAAATGGATTTTTCGCGATATTTTGTAAAAAAAAAAAAAAACGAGAAAAAAAGGGATATTGAATTATATTCTATTTTCGACGTTCGCGGGTACATCATAATATACGCATTAAACGTACAAAACATGCTTTTCGCTCACCTCTTTTATTTATATACTATTGAAAACGCGTAATTCCTGCTGCTACATGATATATCACGCGTTTGTTTCTGCATATGACAAATTAATCCAAAAACTACAATTTGGTGCTAAATATAAAATAATATACTGCAATAAAAATTAGATACTTACGTTTTTTATAAAAACGGTTCAGCTATCGTTACCGTATAGTATCTATGTGATTATATATTTTTTTTAGATTCAATCACCACGCGTACAACCTAATAGGTGTAGGTCGTGGGTGTAGGTATTTCATTAACTTACTGTGCACAGTAATTTATATTAGTAATTATAAATATGGACTTATATAAGTAGGTATATAATTAAGTATTTGCGTATGGTAACTGAGAAAGATTTAATTAGTGTGTACTTAAGTCTCAAATTATATGCTTGAGGATCCCAGTCTCCAGGACACCCGACACACCTTAAACTGAAGCTTGTGCCTCGAATAAAGTCCTTCGTCACGCCACTTAAACCTATCTCAAATCGTTTTTTTCTTAGAGGATGAAACATGTCATTCAGTTTTTAACAGGTTATTTTAATTCAATTTTAAGAAAAATCAAAGCTAAAATGTTTTGATCATTTATTGATATACCGATTTTAAGTTACTTATAAGTGGGTATTCTATGTAGTCAGTATACTTTTGGGAGTTATTTTCGAAATTACGAAATACAGTTCAACGATTTAGCGAAGAAAAGAATCGAGACGGTTATGTTTATAGGTAAAAAACCACATTGACACTATAAACAAAACTTTCAATGTGTGACATCGTTTTTTATTTTTTTAATATCAAGTTAGTAAAAATTTCAAGTTTGAAAGACTTAAAAAAAATGTATTTTTAAACACTAAGAACGTTTTTATTGATACCAAAAAATAAAATAAATATTGCAAGATCAAAGCTCATATCTTTGTACGAAAGTGGTTTTCACTAGTACTGGGTATTCGACTATACGAGTATAGCCAGCTGAGTGGTTCTTGCCCACGTTAAATGCATTTTAACAAACGATTTATGGACGTGGGTGTTCTTTGAAGAAGGAATACTCATCAACGCCATACACACACATCTATGTCCAATTCTAATAAGTACATATTTATTCCTACTTATTAGTAATAATAGCAATTTACCAAAACGTGTATAATTCATGAAATTGAAACATTAGCATTTAGGTTAATGTTTGTATTAGGTAACCTTTCAAATGACTTATTACCAAATTTTAAGACAGGAATATTTTTCAGATAATTTCGTATTATTTCGTATTATCCTTTTCATATCATATTCTCTGACGACTAAGTCAATACGTGTTTTAAGTTTTATCATAATATATTACTATAACTGTAAATAAACTAAAATGTGTATATCATACACTGTATAATATACTACATTCTCTCAAAAATATTTCCTTCCTCTTCTCGATAATATATTATTTCGAAGCTCCAGTATTAACCTATATAATAGAAGTCACCGTTGTGCGTAAGACCTCTAGACAGATAAAAATAATAAGCAGGAGCAGCGTCAGTATACTAGGTAGTCTTACTATATGGGTATTAGTTTTGAATTCCGAGTCGACAACACGATAACGCATGCGCAGTATAATAAATTATTATCGTGTACGGGCCCAGCAGCAGATAACCGAAACTCTATTATTATTATTATAATAATAATTATGATGAATTATTATATTGTGATGTCTAATCGGCACGGCATCCTATCGTTTTCAGACGCCGGTATCGATTGCTTCAAGTGCGTTTCTCTGGAATGGCAGAACCGCGCTTGCGACGATCCGTTCCACAACAACTTCAGCTCGGGACTTTTGGAGTCGCCGTGCATGGGTGGGCGGAAAGGCCGCAACGGTCTGTTTCCGGCTACTGCGTGCATCAAGCTCACCGGTTACTACAGTGAGTGTTTTATACGCCACTTATAATAGTAGTCATTTTTTTTCTCCATAATGTGATGTCCCGATAAGATATCATATTACTACTATAACATACTATATAGTGTGTTATCTACCCCACCTCTAAAAAAAAAATAATCAAAATATCCTGTTTCCATGTTTTGTCTTGTAATAAAAAATAAATATATGTAGAAAAAATATACTGTATAGTTCAACTGTATAGTAGTATATGACGTTATATCTGACGAATGACGGTGGAATAAGACTGCTTATACGATGTCTTTTAATATTTTGAGAATCAGACAATATTGCTTTATTTCGCGTTCTTTTGCCTCGGTATAAATATTCAGAACGATACGAGTCGAGCATGACCATCATGAACTCCTGAGTGCTTTTTGTTTCTTGTTTTCGCCAGTCGACGCAATCACTCGACGGTTTGCATATTATGATTTGACGACGAGATTGGTATATTTAAGTGACCCATATTTCTTTTAAATATATTGTATACGACGTTTATAAAGATAGTAAACAATGAAACATGATATTTCTTGAATTTTTTTTACGATTACATCGTAATATTATTATAAATTATGGTCCCTAGAGAACTTTATAACTTTCATAACATTTGTCCCGTATAGTGTATGTCTCGTATGTCTTATTACTATTTTCTTGTCACACGACTGCTCGAAAATTCAAAACTGACACCAAAACTCGAAATTCATCATTATTGAAATACGTTTTATTTTGACATCTCGAAACTGGCCTAGTAAAATGCACAGAATCATAAACTGTACCATGTCAGTGTTGCTTTTTTACGAATTATCAGGAATTTTCAAAGCAATTTATTCCCATACATAACAATATTATTTAATTTATCTAATAGCAGTAACTTTGATTTAAGACCAACATTTTTATATTTTTGGTATTCTTACATATTTATCCAAATATTTAACATTACCGGATTACTTTACCACAGTCTTACTATAGATTGTACTCTGTCAGGTCAAATCACAAACTTTCTTGGTGTCTTGTTTTCTACCGCCATTTCCACTTACGTGAGTCACGTCTTTCATCCACTTAAGAACTTATCATCAGGGTTTCTCTAAACAATATATGTTTTGAATTGTGGAGGTCTTTTTCTATAGAAAATATACACCTATAGATGTGAACCACGGCTTTAGATAGAATCTATCTAAAGCCGTGGCTTTCACTATATATTATACTATATAGTGAAGTAAAATTATATTGTTTTTTTTTTAGAAGCTACCGGACAGCACGTTACGGTTAGAGGATGTGCATTGGATAGCGGCACCTTGACCACAGACACAGAAATTATTCGAATGTCGCATTGCGGAGGATTCTATTTCGATGACAAGTAAGGATTTAATTTTCTAATATAGAAGGAAGATATCTCAGGGAGATTCACCGAGCACTCCAACCCACATTTTAATCAAATTCTGATTGATGAGAAAAGAATAGGGTCGATTATACTAGGAAAATCACCCTGTATATATAATAATGTACTTATGTAATAAATATTACTGCTTAAACCGATTTATTTAAAAGAAACGCAATAAGGTGTGCCCGCGTCAGACCTTTGTTTTTTTTGTTTCTAATCGATTGTCGATTGAGCAAAATATTGTTTAAAATGTATTAGGTACACGCATGTTGTAAATTTTTTTGGTAATATTGCTATAATAAAGAGCAAAAAGATTTAATAATAAATTAGAAAAAGAAAATTAACTTAAGGGACATCAAAAGGGAAATTATTTTTAATACAGTTTTTCTTTATGGCCTTAACACAAAAAATACGGAAGGAAAATGTTATTCGTTGATTAAAACTATAGTTATTACCTACCTATAACAAGTATTATTTATAATAATATTATGTTAATATTTTCTAGCACGGTTTTGGTAAATTATTATTTTACATCAGAGAACCATAAAACTATTAAAATATTTAACATTTTTTTTTGTTTTCCCGAATTCAAAACAATAATAACTTTCCTACCAATTATATAAAATCGTTTTTTTCTCATTTTTTCTTTGTTTTTTATTGTCAGAGCTAGAGATAACCAATTCACAGAGTTGATTTATGTAAATATCTTAAAAGTCTGAATACTAATTTAAATTTAATATTCAAACAGTTGTGTTTGCGTTTGTTTTGAGTGTTCTGTCCAGCTAGTTTTGCGAATTCTCCCGTAACACCGCCGCTGTTCCCGTTAAAATTCATGAAATTGTTAATGTTTCATTAATTTATATTTTTCCCGCAATCTCACTCCGGCCATATAATGGAGACATAAGTTTTCTATCGATTTTCCTCCGGTCTCAATTTAATACATTTTTTTCCGTACAGGAATCGAGCATTTTCCCCGGTTTATTATACTTATTTTTTCTTTTGTGCGACGCCAGTCACCGTGGTACTCATTCGCCGACTCGATTTCCTGGCTTTATACAATAGAGGTATAGACGAATTTGTTGGCTCGCTTCTGTACAGTAGACTGTGTTTTGTTGTAGCATAATATTATAATACTGTATTGCGATTCGTGACCAACGACGAGGCATATTTTTCGCGTCTCTTGTATTATATACGGTAAAGTTTTCGTATTTCGTTTCCGTTTTGATGTTATTGTTACGTCATCCGAAAATCTCCAGTCATCGTACCGTGACGGCATCAATCAGTCAGTCGATCAGTATTCGAATGGCAATATCTTCTGGTTTTACAGTACAAATATAAAAATAAAAACTTGTACCTATTGTTTTACTTGAAATTAATAAACTTTTATTTAAAATCGGAGAATATCGTTAATTTTAATATGATTTCAAATAAAGTGACGAAAAGGTGATGACGCAACGTGTTGTACGTTCAAACCCTATAGAATGACTATACATAATACCTAGTAATTACATCTGATGGTTGGCACATTTAGGACGACTCATACCTTTTGTACTTCACTTTCAGATAGTACTTCATAGTATAAAAAGTTATTCCACCTGCATACGTTTTGAACGGTCTGGATTAATTAGGATTAATTTGGAAATGTGCACATTTTCACAACGTATTCCACACAAAAACAACGATTTCGTGTGATCGACAGGGTCCGATGTAGTGCACGGTTATTTGCACGTTGTTCGTATGAATAGGCCGAGGAATACAATAAAATATGAAAAAACTAATTAATCAATGGATCAGTACGGATAATTTATCATAATACGAATGTCCGATAGTTTTAACAAAAAAAAATATATAATATCGAAACTCTGTGCTGATGATTGCTGTGAAACGTTCTGTACCCATAAGAGTTGGAGTCAGAGTAATAATATATTCTATAGTGCTTGAGGTTGGTTACAATATTAATTGTCAACAGATCGCAAATTATTAAATACAGTTAGTAATATTCCAGTTCAAACCTGCAACAACTCGAGATATAAAAATCCGATTTGTACCCCATCTTATAGACCATTTTATGACGATTTCAGTTCAAGTAAGCAATAAAATATAGTTAAATTATTGACCACGAAAGAGCATTTTCAATATTATAATTTACATTAAGTTACATAGAGAAACAATATAGAAAACGCATTATACCCAATAAACCAATATTTTGAGTTGTTGCAGTTTTGAACTGGGGAGTCGTATTGTTCAGCGGCTTTTGATATGTATAATATATTAGGTAGGTATTACTGTATTAGGTATATCGTATATACTCATCGGTGGCGAATTTAATCATTTAAATAATTAGCTTAAACTAGTTAAAAATGTTAATGGATTAATTTTTAAATTTTTAACTTAACTTTTTGCATTTGAAACTAAACGTTTAACTTAATTGATTTTTAATGGTACTAACTTAATAAATAAGAGTAACTATACTAATCAAATCCATTATTCACTTATTTATAAATAAATATATAACAAAATTATTATTGACGATAGTACACTAACATAAGAGAAGATTAAAAATGTAATCCTCAAATTTACTTCTTCTTGCCATATTTATAGTCAGAATCGTTCAATAAGAATAACTTATTTTTTACAAAAATATATTTTTGAGCTGGCTGCAACTTTATTTTTTTCTGACCGATTTTCGTAACTCTTATCACATTTATTATTGTTACCATGGTAACCCTGCCCTCCAAAACATATTTATGATTCGTAGGTTTTCCTACGAAAAATATCAAGTAGCCTCCTACATTTTATCTACCTACTATCCCGTTTTGACACCATATATTATGGTATACAGACATTTATTTTAAGCTACATAATATATCAGCTATCGTTAAATCCTACTAAAATCAACTCAATTTAGCATAGGAAATTTTAGTGGTTTCTATACAACTATTGACTTAACTGAATATAATAATAAATTGGTACCTAATCTATATAAATTCTAAATATTTTGTTAAATTTTGGGTCAATTAAGTTTACCCAGTATAAAATATCATTAACTTGCCCGGCCTCGGATTGAAACGATGGCCGGTAAAACCTTAAGTGGTGATTTGTACAAAACTCGTATTCGTGTGCCACGTGACACATCGGCTACCTCGTACAAAACCTTTCCCTGTAATATTAAGGTGAGGTCCAGAATAACATATATAGCTAGGGCCGAGCATATTAGTCTGCGTTTGCCTACGAAACGACCAGCCCGTTAAATCCGCCATTTCGTGTGTCTCCAAACGGTCATGTTTTGTTTTTTTTTTTTTTATTCAATTTAATCGTTCAGTAAACTTTTAGCAGGTGTATAATATACATGGATGTACCTATATATGTGTACATTTTTTTTTATCAGGTACGTTGACGGCTGTTTGCAGAGTTGCGACGACGCGGACGGCTGCAACCCGCACCGCCGCCCAAGTCTCTGGACACGACGCTGCTGATGATGTTGGTCGTGATGCCGCTCGTCGTCCGTTTCATGCCGCACGAATGGGCGCCGGAAGCGTGACGACTGCTCTTGCGTGAACTTAATACCATATAGGTGTATATTTTTTGAAAAAAAATATTCGTTCGAGGTCATTCTCGGGCGTTTTCTAACGACCAGACCGACGGCAAACACGCGACGATCAATTAAACGACGGGTGCCTTGTACATATACGTATACGATGTGACGATACAAAACACCGTTTTGGACATCAAATTTTCACCCCTTCCCACCCTCCCCCCAAAAGCCCCCACGAGAACCCGTACGATACAATATCCCTTCATTATATAATACTGCCTCCCTTCAACGACCAAATACAATAAGGAAACGGACGTCGAGTGTTTGTATTCAACTTGTAACTACGTGCTTTTCGCGTGAATTGTTAATTATTATTATTATTATTATTATTATTCACTAATTATAATTATAGATTATAATATATTATATTATATTGTAACAATTTATGTAACATGACATATCCCAGTTGAGCATATCTTACTGATGAAACTATTTCCATTTAAAAACACTATTATTATAATATGTAGTTGATAATAATATTATATTACGATATTAAAAAAAAAACAAAATCATATATATTATATACTATTGTAAACATTATATACAAATATAATATACGATATACATGTATATTGTATATATAGATGACAAATTAAGTGTCGGACTTATTAAAATATTTGATTGTGCTACTGCATGTATTGTAATTTGATATCACTTTTTGTCTTTTCCTCAAATGTATATTTAACAGCACTTGTTATATTTATTTTTATCCATGATATTAAAATGTCGATAAAGGGTAAATTCTTAGTGAATATTTTGTATTAACGTCTACACAAAGTGTTTCTTTTAAAAGTAAACACTCATTTCATCGAAAAGTATAAACGTTTCTGGAAACATTTTTAATACGTAATTTGAAGTCATTGTAAAACTACATGTTTAATGAAAATTATACCCAACTCAAGTATTATTACTATTTTTATCATTATTATTTTTTATGTTTTTACTTTTTCAGATGACAGCATATACTTACAGTACATAATTGTATACTCCTAAACGACCAAAGCAAAATATTTTCTATGAATTTCAATGCATAATAATCGAATTTCCAACGTGTTTTAACTAGTATAAACTTATAACTAGGTACATAATAGGTATATAAGTAATTTATTTTTTCGCAAATGATGTTTCGTAACGACTTCAAATTATGTTTAAAAAATAAAATAATAAATGTATATTTAGATTCTGAGCGGAGCGAGGAAGCTAGTGGTTTTACAATGGTGTTTTTTTTTTTTTTATATATCCTGTATACAATATATCTACCAAAAGGAGTGCTTAGATTTCATCATAATATAGTACCTTATCTTTTAGCAAATTGGATCAAGATGGTAATTTAGAGAGGTCATTTTTCGATTTCTCAATAGTTTATTTATGTTACAGGAAAAACTACCGACAAATTACGAAAAAAACGGCTAAAATGGGATTTTAATTTCTAACGATTTGTTTGTTGCCAGAGCAACGAATAAAAAATAATATTAATTCAACTAACAGGCTATAATATTAATAATAACAATATAAAAAATCCAGACTGACAAACCGTCCCCGCTCAGAATCGTTTTTATTATACAATGATATTATACATTGAATTCAAGTTTAATACAATCCATTGTCCATTGACCCACGTGTAACCTACTGTACAGCAGAGAGACATTCACTTACCTGCTTTTTCAAAATGTGTTGATACTTTTCGATATAATGTTAAAAGAACCACCCTTTGTATATAAATACCCCGCGCAATATTGCTGCCAAGTTACAAATTTGTTACTATTTACAGAAAATTAACTGCCGTACGATAAAAAACGTTAACCACGAATCGAACGTATCCCGCAAAATATATACCATAAATATTTATTGTACATTTACAGCGTGAAACGGCTGTGTATACCTCCATGTAATATATATATATATATATAGTATAGCTCGTTCCGTGTGACGGTATTGCGTGCGTCGAAGACGAGGCGGAGCCGAATTTCTGAATGGATTTTTCTCGACATTACTGCCAAAGGTAAAACACCGAGGGTTGAAAACACAATTTAGGTCAAAAACATGGTTAGAGTTTTGACGGTGCAGTAGTACGCGAGTAACAGTTTTATGAGCGCGGAGTTTTGTAAAAAAAAAAAAGATTTAAATATGTATATATATAAAATATTGATTGACAACAATAATTGCGGGAGGGTCGAACGAAACGAGCGTATACCATTGGAAAATAACTGTGTTTGTAAAATACTACCACCCCATAATATTGATTTATTATTAATATTATTCATATAACTTTTTTAACGGACGTCGACGTGATTTCATATACATTTTAATCATATAGTTGTTCACATCCTAATGGCCAATATAGCACTGCTGTGGCTGAGAACAGAATAATTGTATATTGCGAGGAGAGCTCTATAATATAATAATGTCGTACAACTCGGCAGATAAACATTTTTCTTATGTTATTAATACACAGGTGTACGGTAGGTATGCGACGATGTCGCTCGGTTTTCCTAAGTCTTTGTGTATATATTGTATACGTATAATTTATAGTGGTCGATTTCAAGAATAAGGGCTCACCCCCTCCTCGAAGAAAATGAAACACAATTTCAGAAAGCGGTATTATATTTCTATAATAGTTATTTATCGATCTCGGAAAATTTTTATCATGTTATTCCGGCGTTCGTGAAATATGTGTGTTTGCGATGAGATTCCGAGAGCTAATGTGTTTTCCGAATCACTATACGTATCATACCTATATACACTGCCGTGTGCAGAAAAACCAGGGCAGGGCGAGACGACCGAATATTGGTACATTCGGACTTTCCTTGATGTCTCGAAATTCTTGATATTATATTGAATATGAAATTTCTTCTTCAAACGCCGTAACACTTGATTGGTTTTTGATATCTAGACATTTTTAATAACTCGAATTGTTTTCTTTCCCCTTGAACTCCGATGGTAACCCGCGAGGGCAGACTGCGTTTATAATTAATAAATGATATTATATAATCGATTTTCAATAATAATGTGATACGTACAAAATCGTATACAAAAGTAATTTGTTTTGCAATATTGAACCGCTGTAAATAATAATAATAACAATAATAATATTTGTGATGGTTAGGTCATGGGACGCTTTCGATTACGTATAGTTACTTACAGTTTTATCGTTTTTAATAATATTATAATTTTGTTATTTGTTTTATCACATTTTATATTTTTTTTTATTGAATATTATATCGAAATTCGATTTAGATATACCTGCAATCTAATAGGTAGATATAGTTTAATTTCATGCCTAAATAGTAAATTGAAAATGATCATGTGCATCTATATTACTTATCGTATACCAGTTTATTATAATAATAGGATTATCTAAAAGTATGAAACACCATTATTTAGGTTTAAATTTTAAATATAATAATTATTATTATTATTGATATAATATAGTTTAAGTGCTCTGAGAATATTTAAATATTTCTTAATTGTATGTAAAATTCATCAAAAATTAGTTACCAGGTGTCCACTTAAAAATATATGGAATATTATAATTATTTAATACTCTGTTACAATATGCTTAGCGAGGTTTGAGTTTAAGTTTAATTATTTAATACTCCATTTACTAAAATCTATCTCATCATATTGAAATAAAATAACGTGTTGAAAATATGATTTAATATTATTTTTTTAAAAAAATATAAGAAAGTGTTGAAAAAAAATCTAATGATCGTAATTAAACCGAACTGTTGTTGAAACTTAAACGTTGAAGACTTATAAAACACGATTTACAAATAAATTAAAAATATTCTTATTATTCTTATCCCTACATAGAAATGAATCTCGTACTTGAATTTTTCTTTCAGAAATTAAATTAATATAATTTAATTTAAAATGTATAATCGTTAGTATGATTGTCGGTTGTTATTTTGAAGATAATCAATAATCTTCGCTTTACTGAATTGTATAATATGTTAGCCAAATATATCGTACAATTGATAAATCGACCGTGAATTTTGTCATCGCTTAAACACTTGGCCGTTACACGTTCAATCGGATTATTTAATGAAGTGCATCATTAAACATATTTCTAGACGCGTTTACACAAACCGTTATTTCAGTGTTCAACAAATGGCAAGCGTTCAAAATAACTCAATCCATCATGGCGCAAAATAAATATAAATGAGAAAAGACTAACCGGAGACAAGCTAAAAGGTGCGAACACTGTACTTAGGCCAACACGGCACGAACAACAGATTTTTTTTCGCTACACGAATTTCTGCTCGACTTAATATTATTTGCTCCGTCTTACGAAAAACAATGAAAATAAATAGTTTTATTCGTCTTGAACAACACAAATGTCTTCGATAAAAATATATTATTATAGCCCTCAGCCCAATCCGGGACAACACCAACGAAATCATCACATTTCTAAAACTTATTTGATATGCACAACTTAGTCTAAGGAAACTATTGAATTATTTATATGTACCTAACTTATTTTTTTTTTGAAAGCTAATAACTTAGTAGTTGATGCTGTAGTATGAATAATAATAAAAAAAAAATAAATATATTATAATACCTACACACAACACCGAACCAGCGAGACATATATTAGTACAAGTATTATGAGTCCTTAATTTTACTGCCCTCGAATCATAGGTATGCCGAGATATATATTTGACGGGGAATTCGTTTTCTGCAGATCGACAGAGTGAACGAACACACTAAAACCATCATCATAAAATTAAAGAAACTATACACAAACAAATTCTCAAACAAAACGACACGATCGATCGATGAATTCGGTATAGACAAAGATATTATTCATAATCCCGAAAATGTACATTGTACTCCAGTGATATTTTAACAGCCACTCCCCCCACCCCCCCCCCCCAAACT